CAACATGCAAAAAAAAAAAAAAGGCATCAGAAAAACATTGCTTTACAAACCTTAAGACTTAATAAAAAAATTTAATATTTTGCATATGAAATCATTGTAATGTTTACTGATGATGTACCAAATTTAATTAATATACGCTTACTAATTTAAAAGTTATAGCATAAAAACTATAACAAGGACAAAATGGTTACAAGGTCAGTCCCATGGACCAAGCTCATGTTGAAAGAGTTAAGGGGATGAAATGCCAGCTTCAGGATATACATTTTACTTATCACACTCAATAGTCCAATTGTAGTAATATGTATTATTTATTTATTTAATTTTTTTTTTTTTCATTAAGGGCAACTTTCTTCCCACGACTCGGGTATAGTTTTAGATGTAGAAACATGAGGTATGATGTTTATAATTCTTTTTATTACATGCTAGATTTACAAAATCTGATACACAGTATATCCCTACTACTGTGTGGATCCTACTTCTGCAAATACTCTTTTTTTTTTACTAATAAGATACATTTTATCCTTCCCACATTACCATTTATTAACTTAGTTTTATTTCTCTGTTTTATGAGTAATACTTCTTTTTTGGTTTTGTCTGTAGTTGCTTTAAAGCATCATCCAATGTAAGATGTTATCATTGCACTCTGTTTCCTTTGTATATTAAAATAAACACAAGCATTGTGCCATCTATAAATACGTTTATAGAGAAAAGAGAAGAGGAAACTGTGTATGGTTTTATTACCTTCCTGAAATGTCTTGGTGAGCATGGTGCTCCTGAATCAGCATTAACAATTTCTTCTAAAATTTTCTATAAAGAACAAAAACAAATAATCACAGCAAAGACAATAATCATAAATTATAATTAAAACTTCATGGGTAAATATTTTTCAGTAAAATAAGTACTAACAAAACTCCTGCATAGATTATTATAACTGGGTATGTTTCATCGATTAAATTTACTTCTTTCTTCCAAAACATAAAAAACATTCACCCAAGCAGAAAAAAAACAAGATTTATTTCAGGAATTATTAAAATGTAACTTGGAAAATGAGATGTTTAACAACCTTCAAATTATCAAGTGAATCATGCCAGATATCTACTTCTTGAAAAGTGCTACAAAGTAATGTGCAATTAATGTGAAACAGAGAGAGAGAGAGATTTGATGTTACACAGAGTGGTACTCACAGGGCATAAAACAAGCAACATTATCTGAAGTGGCCACACTGATGCTTTTCTCTTGTTGTTATTTTCTGCAAAACTATCAAGTAGCTCAAACAGTCTATCACAGCAATCTGGAGACGAATATAAAACAAGTAAAACATTTTGAAAGTTTACACTCTCTAAAAATAAAGAGCTTGTGCAAGTATCTTTATTAAAACTAATATCTCTCAGTCTAAAGCTAAAACAGAACCAACCTGCTAACTCCTCATTTGGTTTTTTCTGAAGGTCCATGAATTCTTGAGGATATGTATCCATCCAACTCCAAATGGCCTAGATATCAGTGACAGAAATTTAAAAACCTTAAATGACTACAGAATTACACATGTATTTAAGTAACGCTTCTGCTTTTCTAAAATTAATCATGGCTATAAATTGAAAAAATGTTTTGTTACCAAAACTGCTTTTATAAGCTCCTTTAAATTTATGAACAAGCAGTAAACTGTACCCACATTCATAGCATGGACAGATAAAATGAACTGAAGTATTTTACTTAAATGGAAAAATATGAATTAGTAATTTCTATGGTATGCAAACATAAACAGTACAATATTTATGAAAACACAAGCTGTAAAATATGCTTAAATTTCTTCTCTAACTTAAAGATTTTCTTCTCAATGACAAGCAACAGATGAATTTCTCTGGTAACATGGGGACAAGTACTTTCTTAGACAGCTGGTTACAGAGATGAAGAATCAAATAGACACTTTCAATTGTTTGTTTGTTTGAAATACTTTACAAATAAGTTGCAATCGAAGCCAGTTGTCATGTTATGACAACAACATTGTGCCATAATGTACCATACTAAAAAGTTTGACTAACCAAAAAATAGGTAAGGTGATTCTGAATTGAAACTCGGACATCCTGGACAAAGGCCTTTCTAATGATAAGAAACTTGTAGCATTTGATTGAGAAACTTGCAATAAAAGTTCAGAACAGACAAACATAATGTATATATGTGTCTGACCCAGTAAAACTTTTTCAAATAGACCAGGATTTATCAATCTAACACATAATGCCTGCAAGAAAGTGTAGCTTAAATGCCATGCATGAAAATGATAGAATAAGGAAATTTCAAGCAAAAGGCATTAAAACTACCAGAAATGTTTTGTGGCTAGTAAAGTATTAACCCTCTCGCTACAGGTCTTCCTATGGTCATGGGTCAAAGGGCATTTCATCACGTTTGTAGACTTGCATTCAAAATTCTTTGATTTACTATTTTATGAATGTATGCCAATAAGTTTGGTATCGCATTGTAGATTATAATTCAAATTTCAGTATTATATATTAGTTAATTTCTTAAATTAAAAGTAAATATTACAACAAAATTCCTAAATATCCATTTTTGTGTGTTACATGGTATATTGAATGTAGGTTTGGTTCAAATTAGGTGTTTGTGATGTCCAAATACGAGGTCTATAGTTTTTTATGAATTAAATGAATTTTATGAATAAGTTTGGTATCACATTGTAGATTATAATTCAAATTTTCAGTATTATATATTAGTTAATTTCTTAAATTAAAAGTAAATATTACAACAAAATTCCTAAATATCCATTTTTGTGTGTTACATGGTATATTGAATGTAGGTTTGGTTCAAATTAGGTGTTTGTGATGTCCAAATACGAGGTCTATAGTTTTTTATGAATTAGAACGGCAAATTACCAATATTGACAAACTAGAATATAAAATAAGGACCTCCTATATTTTCTATTTGCTGAGATATCACT